GGTCTTATTTTCAGGGAAATGTGACAGGGTGATGCTTTGAACACATAGTCTTTTTTTTTTTTTTTTGGTTTTTCTCCGGTACCGGGAACCGAACTCACGACCTTGCACGTGCCAGTCAGGCGCTTTTGCCGCTGAGCTAAACCCCCAGCCCCGAACACATAGTCTTTTGATACCAGCTCATATGAGTCCAGACTTGGTGAAGGAACAGAAGCTTTTTTGGAAAATGGCAGAGAACCCACTTTTAGTGGTCAGCAAGCCTAGGCCTCAGTGTTTTTGAAGCACAGCAGCTGCTGGCATGTTTACATGATCTTGCAGGTTAACAAGGAATGTGGTCAGGGTTTACAAGGGAAACAGGGTGGGGATATAGCTCAGCAGTACAAGTGCCTGCCTGGCAAGTGCAAGATCCTGAGTTCGATTCCTGGTACCAAGAAAAAAAATCTGAGTAATCATTTAAAAAAAAAAAAGTGAAGAAAGACTTAGGCTGGGCCTGGTGGCACAGGCCTGTGATCCCAGCACTCAGAAGGCTGAGGCAAGAGGATCGTTGTGAGTTAGAGACCAGCCTGGGCTACAAAATGAGCTCAAGGCTAGCCTGAACTGCATAGTGAGACCCTGTCTCAGAAAGACAAAAAAAAAAAAAAAAAAAACAAAAAAAAACAAGGGAAACAATACATGGCACACAATTTATGGAATTATTTTACAATAGTCACACAAAGAGTCATTTACAAAGACAGTGTGGGAAATCTGTCCACATACTAAAGACCAAAAGAATCCACATGAGGGCTTGGATTCCAAGGCAATGTCCTGCATGAGTCCATCTGAAGACCTAGAGCCCAAATTAATGCCCCCCACGAGTCCCACTGGAGGCCTAGAGCCCATGACAATGTCTCCTGCAGGCCTGTTTTATGGATCTGCACTGGGAAGGCCAAAAGGTCAGTGGTGGAAGCTAGAAAGTCTGCACCAGCAAGATGAAGGATCTGTGCCAGCAGGCTGAGGAACCTGCACTGGAGCCAGGAAGTGATGCTCAAAAGAACCAGAGCTCCACCAAAAAGTACCACAGCCATCCTCAGCAACAGTGAGGTCCCAAGATCCTCCAATGATGAGAATAGCCGAGTTCATATCAGGAAAGCTAGCACAACAAACTTCTCCAGGACACTGAACAGTGCACCATCTTCCCCTCTGGATCCAGCAACTGATACTCAAAGAAAGATCCAGAGCTCCCCCAAAGTGAACAGCAGCCATTCTCAGTGATAGACAACAAGGTCCTGAGCTCCTTTGACGATAAGAACAGCCAAGTTCATCAGGAAAGATAGCCTGAAAAGCTCCTCAGGAGAACCAACACCACCCAGGAGAACCAACAGCTACCAACAGCCTCTCTTCTTCTCCAGCTCTGCCTCTTATGATGCTAGCAACAATCCTCAGGTGGGCCTCCCACACCCAGCACCACACTGCTTCAGTTCAGCTGTTACAAGTTGACCACTAGTTGTCCATCTACCACACTGAGTTGGCCAGAGATCTGTTTTAAACTTCTGATACCTGCTTAGACGGGGTAGAGAAATGGTGAAGGGGAGGGGGAGTTCAGTTGGGCAAGGCAGAAGGCAGGGCAGTCAAGGTGGGGAGTTGAGTTCTGGGAATAACCTGAGCAGGCAATAACTGTTGTGGTGCCATCAACAAGTGAATTTTATTTGTTCTTGGTCAGGAACTGAGGTTATTTTCAGAACCCTGGCACAGACAGCCATTGGGCATGGGGCTGGGACTGAGCCTGGATTGAGCCAGTTTTGGAGGACAACTGCTACCACTGTTGTCACAGACTAATTTGGTCTTTAGGGTTGGAGAGTTTGGTGGAGATTTGTGTGAGAGTTTGGGCTACCTGCTTGGACAGTGCTGAGAAACGGTGGAGACTCTTGCTCTGGCTGGCCCAGAGCCAACAGTGGTGGCTATTTTGATTCCTGCTGGGAGTAGAATTAACTAAACAGTCCAAGAACATCATTGTCATGGGCAACGTGCTGGCAGGGTTGACAGAAAGTGGGGGCAGAAGGTAAAGAAGGTGATCTGGGTTGGAGTGAACTTGATGACGTCCAGAGCCAGAGGTCAGTGATTACTTTCGGGGAGCGAAGCTGGGGTTGGGGGAAGGATATCAATTTTTGTGCAAGGGAAAGGGTAAAACAAGTGAGTTTGGGGAATGAGAGGGTCATAAGAATGACAGGTGGCTGTCTGGGAGAAACCTGGGGGGAAGAGGCACAGAATAGCCTGACATTCTTGGGTTTTAAGGGTAGTCATAAGAGCAGGGTGGGAAGGGCAATGGGATGGGGGTGGCAGGAGGATCAAGGAGGATCTCTCCCATATTGGTCAAAGAGTGGCTTCTTTGAGGATTTTGAGCAGGACCTGTTGGGGGCTGAGGTGGAGGGGAACAGCGAATGGGAAGGTCAGGCAGGAAAGGAGCCAGCTTGTGCTTGTAGGAGGGGTCTGTCTTGGTTACATTTCTCTTGCTGCTGAGACAAAATACCTGACACCCAGAAATAAAGGGAGAAAAGGCTTATTTAGCTCACAGTTTGTGGAGGTTTCAGTCCATACTTGGTTGGCTCCAAGGCAGGGTGGCACATGGCAGAAGGCAATAGTTCATGGTGGAGGAACATAGCAAAAGCAACAAGAGGAAAGGGAGGAGCAGCAGAGAGCAAGGCTCTTTCCCCCTATATTGTATGCAAACTACCTGCCCCAGGGTGAGTGTAGCACTCACACCCATAATCCCAACATTGGACCATGGATCAATCATAAACTCTAGAAGCCTGCCTCATGACTGTTTGAGGCTTTGGGGGGACATTCAGGCACAAACCATAACAGGGTCCAAAGGCCTGAAGTGACTGGAAGTAATCTCTTCAGGGTGAGTGGAGGAAATGTGGCCCAGAAGAAAGGGGCAACCCTACATTACCTCAAAAGGAAGCACATCCCAGTATGGGGGGTGGGAGTCCAGAGGTGATGTTCCTGGGGTTCAGGCAGAGCAGAACAGCTACGGGCAAACAGGGGTCAGACCTAACAATCTCACCGTCGTTCGGGCTGGCTTTGAACTCATTATGTAGCAATGAACTTGCCATGATTCTCTTGCCTCAGCCTCGCAAGTGCTAGGACTATAGGCATGCACCACCACACCCACTTCTACCTGTGAACACTTCGTGCATGTCTCTTGGTAAGTACATGTATGCATTTAAAGTGGGTATATTCCTAGAAGTGGAATTACTGGCTTATGGAGTAGGCACACACACAGCTTTCTTAGGAACTAATGACTAATTTTCTTAAGTGGTTTTAATAGTTTACACTATGATTAGCAGTGTGCAAAGGCTGCAGTTGTTTTATATCCTTGCCAGCATGGGACACTTTGTCTTTTTTTGGTTTTAGCCTTCTAGTCAGTGTGAAATGGTATCTCAGTTGGATTTATTTGGTAACTAATGTAGTTGAGGACTGGTTCCTATGTTCATTGGCCATTTGGCTACCTTCTCTTGTGAGGTATCTATTCAAGCCTTTGTCTCATTATTCTATTGGTTTGTCTATGTGTGTGTGTGTGTGTGTGTGTGTGTGTGTGTGTGTGTTATGGGTTTATAGGAGCTGCATTTCTCTTACTTTTTTTTTTTTTTTTGAGACAAGGTTTCCCTAAGTCCCTAACTTGCCCATGATTGGCTTCAATTTGTGATCCTCCTGTTTCAACCTCCCAGAGTGCTAGGATTATAGACATGTGCCATCATGCCTGGCTGTAGAAATCCTTTATAGATTCTGTATAGGAACTTCTGATTGGTTCTACATGTTCCCAGCTGTTCCTTAATCTTCCCCACCCTGGGTGACTGGTATATACTAGGCAAGCACTCTACCACTGAGATGTACCTTGGCCTCTATCCTTCTAGCTTTTCTTAATGCTGCTGGAGATTGATCCCAGGGGTTCATGCACATTAGGTCAATGCTTTACCACTGAGTCATATGCCCTGTCCTCCCTTAAGCTTTTAATGTACCTGGAGAAAACCCAACAGGTTAACTGTAGGACAGATCCCTGCTCACACCTGTGGACGCACACATACACAGTAAAATAACGTACTTTCCCAGTGAATATTCAGATTACTCATTCACATCTGGGTATTTAACCATCTGCCTCTTCTCTGGTATTGTGTTGTGACAGAACGCCTTTCCCTCGTGATATGAAGGGTCCTTTGGGATGCACCAAAGGCAGATTCCAAAAACAGTACTTCAGTGAAATACCCGAAGGCTGTGTTTAAGTGTTGTGTACACACCCAACCTGACTGGAGATGCACCCAACCAGACCTGGCTCAAGGAGGGTGGACTTCATTGCCAAGGTTGAAGCAGATTCTGCACTTTGTTTTTCCTTGCTAAAGTTGCCAGATCAATAACCCACTTGTCCATCTGTACACTCATCCCTCCCTCCCACAGATACTGAGTATCTATTAAGTTATTAAACACTTGGATACACTGATGAACAAAAACTCTGTGTCACCGTAGGCCCTGAAAACTTCTGATTAAAAACCATTAAAACAACTGAGTGAGAACCAGAGGGAAGGGGAGTGTTTGATGAATCTAAACTAGAAAGTCAGGAAAGGCCTCCTGAGAACCTTCCCACATGACTGGAGGGGTGCATAAGTGCGAGGAGCAGAACCTCCTAGCAGAGACATTCCACTTTGAAGCCCAGTGAGGACAGTGTAGCTAGAAGCTCTGTGCGTGGCAGAGGGAGACCATCAAAATCAATTTTAGGTTTCATGTTTTAAGTAGGGAAAGCTATGATAGAATGGATGTTTTTAAAGGCTCACTTTTATATAGTGGGAAATACATATTTGGAATCATCCAGATCTGCCTGGTTCAAGGCCAGTTGAGATTTATTGGGATATCTTATAGCTTCTTGGGCTTCAACATCTTCACTCTGTAAAACTAAGTTACTTACAAAGATTCCCTTGAGAAGGTTAAGTGAGATAATGGAGGCAAGTGTACATTTATTGAACCACACTCAATAAATAGGAATTGTTTAATTACAATTATTTATTCAACTTCTTACTTTCTCTAAGTTTGTTCTCCTGAAGATATTGCTATTCAACAAGAGTTGCTATGATTTTCCTCAGTAGAAGGTGTCAGGAGTGTTCTCCAGTGCTCCCAAGGATGACTGGTTTCAGAGCTGGTCATTACTGTACAGGAAGAACTCTAAACTTGCTTGCTTGCTTGAGAATGTCCATCTGTGTACTGCTTCATTAGATTGCAGACTTGCTGTGATGAAAATTGGCCTGATTAAGCAGTGTGTGTAGTAATAGCAGTGAGTTATATTTTGTTAGAAGTGCCAATGGAGATGACTGACATTTGGTTGTAAGTTTCTTATTTGCTTAGAATTTGATAAGACAATACTTGGAGAATAAACACTTGAACTGTAGACTTTGAAAAGCAACCAACAGAAGTCATTCCTCAACTCAAGCCTGGTTTCTCTTTCTTCCAGAGAAGCATGAGGGCATAACCTGTGGGAAGACTGGGATAGTAAATGGATTGGGGTCACCCTGGCCCGGCAGCCCAGTGCACATGGCCGAGTGTTGGTCATCCTGGGGAGTCCATGGAAAGGGGGTGGCTGGCACCAAAACAAGCATGACACTGAACTGCTATGAAAGGTGACAAGGACAAGGCTTTGAGGTTACCTTTCTGCGCTGATGCTCAGACAAATGACTTCTCTTTCATTGTCTTTATCTGCCAAATGTTAACAGCTGTCCCAAGGTGCTGAGAAGCAGCCACTAAAAAATGACAAAATGTATGTATGTGAAGTTTGTAAATCTCACGCATCCCAGAAGTATTTTTTGTGTCTGTCTTTAAATGAAGTTCCTCATGTATATTAATACCTGCTCGATAGATTCCTTCACCAGTTTTTTTCAAAGCAGACCACTTTTCAAAAGAATACATACTTATACCCTGATAATGCTCCACGATTAAATCAAGCCACAGAGCTCTCCTGTGAACACATTTTAATTCACATGTGCAACTTTCACTCTCAGAAGAGGAAAAAGTGGTGGTTCATGCCTGTAATCCCAGTACTCTGGGGGCCAATGTAGGCAGATGGCAAGTTTGAGTACTTGGTGACATACAGACGCTGTCTCAAAATTTAAAAAAAGAGCTGGGGATACAGCTCAGTGTGAAGGCCCTGGGCTCAAGTCCTTGAACTCCCCCTTCCCAAATTCCTTCTAGATCAATGACAGCTACTGAAATATAACACGGGCCACAAATGTGATAACATCACATGAAATGACAAGAAAACTTGACAAGACAATACTTGGAGAAAAGCAAACTTGTTGTCTTGGTTACTTTTCTCTTGTTCCTGGGACAAAATATCTGACGCCCAAAATTAAGGAAGGAAAGGTTTATTTCGCCTACAGTTTGTGGAGGTTTCAGTCCATACTTGGCAGGTTACAAGGCAGACTGGCACATGGCAGAGAGCTACAGCTCATGGTGGCAGAACACAGCAAAGCAACAAACACAAACCAGCGAGGAATGGGGGAGGAATGGCCTCAAGCACTCTTTTCCTCTCCCTTACATATGCAAACTATCCACCCCAGGGTGGGTGTAGCTCTCACACCCACAATCAATCAACTCTAAAAGCCTGCCCCATGGCCGCATGAGGCTTTGGGGGGACACACAGACAAACCATAACACTTGTGAAATTAACTACAATGACCTACTTTATTAAAGCTATATGCTAAAAATATTATCCTTTTAACATGCAATCAATCAGTATTTTTAAATGTATGAATGAGATGGTGTACCTTCTTATTTTTATATGAAATCATTACAATCTGCTAGGTAATTTATCTCCACAACACATCTGAGTCCAGATTGGCCATGTATCCACTGCTCAAGTCACATGTGGCCAGTAGATGTCTTACTATATCACAAGTGTAGCCTTTCTGTGTGTGTGTGCATGCATATACACAATAAATAGCTGCTGATTGAACAATTTAGAGAACCTGTTACCTCCTTATAATTTGGGAGAAATATACACCAACAGATATAAACAAGTAGCACCTAGAAACGCCATGATACAGATGCCTGTTGCTGCTCAGAAGGCTAGGATGGGAACCTGTGCCTCTTCCTCTCCCAGGCATGAGTACTCACATGCTGGGCTCCTGAATGTGGCTTCCATTTACGCAGGCAAGACCTGGTGCTAGGCTCACTGTTCGGCCAGCAATGAAGGGCTTAGCTGTACCACTTCTGGCAGCACATAGGAAAGGAGGCATCCTCCTGAAGAGGCACTCCGGAAAACGAGGTGGGGGACACTGGCAGGCACGCGGATGGCACTTCTGTACCTGCTCAATCTGACGCAGGCATCTGTTCTACTGCTTTGGGAAATGGAAACCCTATGAAATGCAAGGAAATATCTTCCCAAGTCCTGGGATCTTTAAACTGCACAGTAAAATAACACAATCAAATCCGTATGGTGGCAAGTGCAGTGCTTAGAAAATGTACCAGCTACGGGGCCAGGGATGTAGCTCAGCGCCATAAGCGCTTGCCTGTCAAGTCTGAGGTCATGAGTTCCATTCCCGGCACCAAAAAAAAAAAAAAAAAATGTACTAGCTATGGCTGGGACCTCAGTGACTGGAGGCCCCTCATCAGGAGGATGCAGCAGTCATCCCGGAGTGGAAACATCTCCAGTACGTATAAGGCGCACGCGCCCTCGGAGCACACTCAGGAGCTGTAGAAATTAAGCCTAGAGAGGCTGGCATGTGGGCGCGGGCTCCCCTCTCATCTAGGCGGCCTTCCCACCCGGCCCGTTTCCCACTCCGCCCATAAAACCAGTGTAGGGAAGCATCTAGCCTGCACCCCTAGGCTCGGGGCCCGAAATGGCCTCTTCCTGGACGCGAGATCGGAGCCCCTCCCGAGCCCCACGCCGCTTCACGCAGTGAGAGGACCCCACGGGCGCAGCGCGGCGACCGACACTCCGCGCTCCGGCCCGCAGCTCCCCGCGCGCCGCGGCCTCTGCACCCCCACGCCCATCCTGCCGCCCCCGGACCCGCCCCCTGCCCGTCCATTCCGAAGGGCACACTGCGGCCTAGGGGTTCACGACGCTGCCCAGAGGAGGAGGAGCGCAGACCCGCCGGCCCGGGGTCAAGCGAGCTGCACCGGGAGGAAGCAAGCTAAGGTTGTACCGGGAGTGCTGTTCTCCAGGACCTGAGCTGCTGAAGCACCAGCCAACAAACCCATGTTCTATTGGCCGCCAAAAGGTTGGCCAATCAGATGTCCCTGATCCGCGGTGCCTTGTGGGACTTGTAGTTTGCGGTGTGAGGCCGCATTAAGGTGGGCTAGGAGGGTGGTGAGTGCGAGAGGGGTTGGGGCCAGGGTGGTGGGGACGAGGAGGTCTGATCTGTGGAAAGCGTGTTGCACCGAGACAAGGCAGGTAGAGGCTAGAAAGCTTAGAGTGGCAAGCCAAGGAGTCCTGGAGGCATGGCCTGGTGCTCCCTTGGGAAAGTCATCCATAAATGAGACAGTGGTGATATTTTAAGGCAAGGGGGCCACCAGAAAGCCACGGTGATCATCCAGAGGCGGACTTCTGATGGTTCATGCCTTCCTTCAGCAAACAAAAAAAAAAATTATTTTTTTGACAAGGTCTCACTGCGTTTCAGGTTTGCCATGAACTCACTATGTAGCCCAGCCTGGCCTGGAACTCGCTGCTATCCTCCTGCCTCAGCCTCCTGAGTGCTGAGGATTATAGGCATGCACCACTGCACCAGGCCCCACAGACACAGACTGAGCAGCACTCTCTAAGCACCAGGAAAACACCGACTTCTGCTCAGGAAATGTAAGGACCAACACGAAACTGTTGTGCCTTCCTGAGGTTTGCAGCGTAACGGAGGAATCAGATCAAAGCAGGATGAGTGAGGACACTTAGTTCGTTAACCCTAAAACTGCGTCACAGTGCCACTGGAGGGAAAAGGAAGAGGCCCACTTTAATTTGAAAGACCAAATCAACCTCTCTGAGGAAGACTCAGTTGAATGGAGCCCCGAGGATGAGTAGGACTTAGTCAGGAGAAAGCAGGGAAGATCTTTCCTGGGGGACCAGCACATGCAAAGGCCCTGGGACAGGAAAGAGGAAAAGGGACAATCCCCTGGCTGGAAAATAAGGATGCAGGGGAGTCAGAAGCAACGAGGTCAGAGGAGTAGGAAGGTGCAGAATCTTTTAAGACAAAGACACAGTTCAGGTTTTATTCTAAATGCCTTAGGGGGCCAGGAGTGGTCCTAAGCATTTGGGAAACATTGTCTAGGGAGTACACAGCCAGGCATGGAGGAAGGTGCCAACCACTGTGTTTATGTTTCTAGCGGAGGAGCATAGTGCAAGGCAGAAAGGCAAGCTATTGCCATTCAGAACCACGGGCACCTGGAACTGAAGTACCTTGCTGCTCCTCCAACTGACTGAATAGCTTTCCTTTGCCGAGGTGAGCCCTAAGCAGAACTTAGAATCTGGCTCGCTGCATGACACAGCAAGAAATGTTTGGGTCTCTGTGTTCAACAATACGTGATTTGATTTCTTTTTCCGCCCGCCGCCACCCCAATACTGGGAACTGAACCCAGGGTCTTTGCACTAAGTTACATCCTCAGCCCTTACAAAAATTTTCTTTTATATTTTGAGACAGAATCTCACTTAAATTGCCCAGGCTGGGCTTGGACTTGTAACTCTTCCTGCCTCAGCCTCCCAGAGTGCTGGGATTACAGGCCTGTGCCACTATGCCCGGCTGAGTTTTCTCTTTTAATAAACTCACAGGTTCCAGGTTAGACTTTTAGGCTGAGTTCAAAGTCCCAAGATATGGGTGTCTCTATCTCTCGGGCAGCCTTGTATGTGGGGGGAGGAGATGCTAGAACGATCCCCAGAATAAACTCCACTACCAGACAGAATCCTGAGTCGTGACTGTAATGTCAGGAAAAAGAATGCAAAGTTAAAAATGCCGAGCAGGCCAGAGAGGGCTTTGTGTGGCCTGTTTTCTGAAGGATATCATTTACCCTGGCTTTGCCTCTGACTGGGGAGAGAAATTCCAGAGCGTCTGAGTGGTTTCATCACTCCAGCCCATACATTCCTGGCGGGAGAGCGCAGGTTTCTGGGCTTCCCCTCCCGGTGATGTTCAAATTCTCCCGAGGCGACGTAAGCCTCAAAGTGAGCTCAGCAATCCTTCAAAGCAGATAGGATGAAAGCCCGTCCCCTCTGCTGCTACTGCCTATAGCTACCACATGGTGGCGCCAGAGAACACAGCATTCACTATGGGCCTAGCAGGCTGGACACTGCTTTGCATCAGCCCCCGCGGTTTCCGGAGTGAGGGGTGCGCTTGCTCGTCCCGCAGCACACAGCTCGTAACCCCACATCGCTGCGCTCATTTTCTGTCCTGTAATCTGCTTAAAAGTCAGGCACCATTTCTTATCCTTGTACGTAACCCCTATACAGAGATATGTGACGTCTCCTTCAAACGCGGACAGCTAATTCTCTTGCCCATCGTCTTTATGAAAGTGGTCGCTACGGATCAACATGAGTCCGTAACCCTGGAAACCAGGGTCAGGCTCCGCCTTTGCCAAAGCCTAGAAAGTTATGTAACTTCTCCGCCTCCTCCCCTCTCAGGTGGCGTTAGCTATGCTTTCTACCTCGGAGGAAAACACTGATGCAAACCACTCTGTGGCCAAGCCCGCACCTTTCTCATGACCCCTCTGTGGGTCCCCTTTCCGGACCCTGCTAAACGTCACTGTCCTGCCTCCCGCAGCCCTCGTTGGGTTCCCGTGGCCGCATCTTCTCAGCCCTTTTTTAGAGGAGCTGCCTAATTTCAGCCAAGACCCCCCCACCCCACCCCTGAGAGAGTGAGGTTGCCCAGGTCCGAAGTTCTGTCCTCTGTACTTCAGTATCAAGGCTCTACACGTTCACAATATGTAATAAAAGCCGGACTTCTGCTGAGACTGTCCTGACAAAATTAAGTCAAGGATAATATATAAAGCAGAACGCCAAGACTGTAATAAAAGACATTTTATTTATTTATTTATTTACTTATTGTCTTTTTGAGACAGGGTCTCGCTATGCAGTTCAGGCTGGTCTTGAACTCACTTTGTAGCCCAGGCTGGTCTGGAACTTGTGACGATCCTCCTGCCTCAGCCTCCAGAGTGCTGGAATTACAGGCGTGCACCATCATGCCAGGCCTAAGAATGAGATTTTAAATTAATAATTTCACATATAACATATTTCTATGTAATTTTGAAGACATATTTCTATACATTGACATTATCACATGGGATATTATTTATTAGGAGGAAAGACGTTTATAATAGAGTCTACCAGGGTCTAATCTGCAAAGCAAGACCCTCTCCCCATTCGCAAGCTTTTCTTCCTGTAGCAGAGACTGCTGGTGCACAGGTATAGAGATGCTCCGGGAGGGGGCGCTAGTTCCCCACCTTCCGCAACATGCAGAGACTTCCTGGCCCTCGGGAAACGCTTGGCTGCGGGCAGCCTGCTCTGACTCTGGTCCCGACACCTGCTGACCAGCTGTGCTCAGCAGACCTAGATGCGCCGGTGCTGTGGCCAGCTGCCCTGAGAGAGCCCGGCTCTAGAACCGGGCCGACCGAGGGCCGAGCCTCTTTTCAGTGATTTCGTGAGTGACCCTGGATAATTCCCGGAAGTCCGGGCTTGGGCGCTTATGTGCATGGATATTCGCACCGGCTGTGGGCCTATCCTGGGCTCGGGAACTGAGAACTGCTGAGACCGGCGAAACTTTCACCACCTGAATCTTCAACCACATGTCAGGGCTGCTGCTGACAGCTACTGGTGTGGTAACGCGGGGCAGTGAGCGGGCAGGGAAGGGACCTGAAGGTGCCTTCTCTCCGCACAGGGCTCCCCCGAAGACTGCACACCCACCCGGGCTGAGCACCCCCGAGGCCGGATTCCCCAAGTCCACCCACAGTTGTGCCTCCGAGTTCCCTTTCTTTATTTTATTTTGGAAAGCATTTTTCAGCTTTATGTTTTGAAGCTTTCGTGAATTTCCAATAGACTCTGTTATCTAGAACAGTTTTAGAGCTACAGGAAAATTGTGAAGCTTCCCCAATTATCTTTTTACATGGTAATTAGGGCATATTTATGATCATTAATGAGCCAATAGTGATCTGTTTCTATTAACTAAAGTCCATGCTTTGTCTTTTTTCCCTCCTCGGATCCTATCCAGAATGTCCCAGTACACTGGGTGTTACGTGTCTTAGGGCCACCTTCGCTGTGACAGCCTCAGGCTTTCCTTGTTTTTGATGACCTTCAATGTCCCTCGTTTGGGACGTGTCTGCTGTTTCTCTCGTGGCTGCGCCGGGGTTGTAGGCTAGGGAGGACCGCAGAGGTTAAGCGCCACTTTCCCCCCGTCACACGAAGACTGCACAACAAGCCACGGCTCCTGTCAAGGGGAGAAAATAAGAGAACAGGGGACCGCAGGGAGCAGCCTGAGGGGCAGCGTTTCTTGTGCTTTGCAGCGAACATTTGCTTGCCTTTTTAATCTTGCCT